CTCCTCCTCCTCCTCCTCCTCCTCCTCCTCCTCCTCCTCCTCTTCTTCTTCTTCTTCTTCTTCTTCTTCTTCTTCTTTGTTGCTTTTAGAGATATGGTTTCTCTGTGTAGCTTTGGAGCCTATCCTGGAACTCACTCTAGACCAAGCTAGCCTCAAACGCAGAGATATGTCTGCCTCTGCGTCCTGAGTGTCTGCTGTGATTAAAGGTGTGCACCACGACCACCTGGTGATTTCCACTTCTTAATGACTGGGTTTTTTTTTTATCATCTTTTCATATGTCTATTACTCTGTTTAAAGAATGCTTTTATTGAATTACCTTCCTTAACTCATTTTAAATATAAGCTAGTTCTAAATTATCAAGAATTTAAGAAGTTAACATCCTTTCCCAACCTTTCTTACCACTACACTACACCCGAGGGAAAGAAGCAAGTTCTGAGCTATAAAAGCTCTCTCGTGGTTTGAAAAATAAATTCCTAAATTTATAAAGTAACAGTATAGTATTAAGTTAAGTGGTTTTCATCTCTTAGGGAGGGGCTAATTAATAAGGCAACATACCTTATCTTTATTCTTAACAGATATCCCAAAGGAAAATTAGAAAATTGTCTAAAGTGAAATAAAAGAATAATCATTTGGCCTTAAAATATTATATATACCATGACAGATTTATTACTACAAAAAAGCATGAGGCTCATATCCACCACAAAAAGAGCTTGCTTACCATCTTCAATGGCATTTTTGACCGCACGAAGTCCGTCTCTTAAAGCATCCTTGATCTGTATAAGAGTATGTTTGTTTGGTCCTTTGATCAACAAGGTGACAGAGAGAGGATTCACGCAGTCCTCAATAAAAGTGAACTTTTCCTCACCCTAGCAGGGGACAAGAGAAGATATAGCTTTAAGACTTGGGACATAGCTGAGGGCGCAGGTGGTAGAGCACTTTGCCCAGCATGCGTAAGATCCTGACTCGGATCCCCAGGAAAACACATGCACACATGCACACACATACGTATATATACACACACATGCATGCACAACAGGTATAACATTTGACAGATTGCATTATTACATTTGTATAAAATAGCAATGTCATCATGAAATTCAAATCTATTTTCTATTAAGATAAAATCTTCATGTAAATTTTCTTATCAAGTATAACTGCAGATGTCTTTTTAAAGTGGTTAAGTTATCCCACCATTGGGGGGATTGGGTCAGGAAGACAGTTCAAGACCATCTGTGGCTCCATAGCAAAACTCCTAACACTTAAAGGAATAAACTGCAAACTCTGTTCTGTCCGACCTCAAAATGTAATACATGAATTAAAATGTGTAAAATACCAGAAATGGTTTAGGGATCGTGCTATTACTGCTATTCACAGAAATACTCACTATGAGCTGGGCTGTGATGGCACATATCTTTAACCCTAGCATTCAGAGACTGGCAGTTCTCTGAGTTTGAGGCCAGCATGGTCTACAAAGTGAGTTCCAGAACAGCCAGGACTACACAGAGAGCGATCTTGTCTAAAAACTAAAAATAAAGATATACTCACTAATGAATACTCAAATACAAGGCCAGCATGCCCCAAGCAATCTTCATTAAGGTCTTCAAAGGAGTTTACAGCTATTCCTCCACAGGCGAGGGTAAGCCTGGAATCACATGGACAGCACCTCCACTTTGGTTATAGAAAAATACAAAAGCTAATTTCTCTTTTCCTTTTTCTTTTTTATACATGATCTCACTTTAATCCAAGCACTAAGGAAGCAGAGACAGGGGAATCCTTGTGAGTTTAAGGCCAGCCCGGTTTATATAATGAGTTCTAGGTAAGCCAAGTCTACACCTGAGATCCTGTCTCAAAAACAAACATATAGTTGTTACCTACAGTCACCAGCTTTAAAATAAAACCCATCTCTACCTGTCTCTCTAATGAAAACTTTGTACCTTTGATCAACAGCTCCCAAACTCTTCATTTCTAGGACTCCAGCCTCCGCTAACTATCACCCTCTTACCTACTTCTGAAAACGCAGTCTTTTTAAATTCCACATATAAGTAAGATCAAACAGTATTATAGTGTTTCTAAAATATATTTTGTGGGGGGGAAGAGAGTGTATGTTTTCAGTCACTTCTCCATCTCTCTCTCTCTCTTTTTTTTTTTTTTTTTTTTTTTTTTTTTTTT